CAAAAAAAAAAAAAAAAAAAAAAAATTGTTATATGCATTGGTTAGCCAAATGTACCTTTGCCCCCCATATTTATAGCCTTTGACCATTCCAGTTTTATAGTGAAAATTAACTCTCTTTAGCAACAATTTTTTTTTGACCATTTGACAACTGAGCATTTTATAAATTGTATCCACAGCATAACTTGTCTGAAAAATAGATCTTCATTTTCATTATGTACTTAACAGTATCACATCTCTTTCTATAGGTTGTTCTCCAAAGAAGTATGGAACGAGTACAGTCCTTTTTTCAGAAAAATAAATGTCGTCTCCCTCTCAAGCCAAGTCTAGTGGCAAAAGAATTAAATATTAAGGTGATACATATCATACTTATAAGTTCATATTATATTTGAGAATAATAGGAAGAAGGCAATGGGCAGGTGTGCTTAAGGCAAATGAAGGTAAAACCTTTAGAGGTTTATTATAAGCATGGATGGTTGTGATTAGGATCCATAGGTATCTTAGCATATTTTTAACCTAACCACCACTTTTTCAAAAAAGAAAAAAAAAAACTGTAAAATTATTTACTGCCTTGGGCTTCATTTTTTTAGATTGGTCTCACCGTCTTAAATTAGCTTTTTAGTCACTTTTATTTCAAAAGTAAGATTTGATCTTTACTAATGAAATTTTAAAAGTTTTGTCAGTACTTCCATGGCTAATTAAAATAGTACTTCAACAGAAGAAGTGGAGATCTCATCTCAGATCAAAGTGATTTAGAAGATGGAAAAGGATATCACAAGACTTTATGTTCTATTGATGGACTGAGATTTTTACAGAGCTCAAACTTTAAAAGTTTGTGTCTTAAGGTTTTGCTTCTCTGCCTAGTAAGATGATATTTTAAGTTTCAAAAAGTATTTTTGTATATTGTACATCTGTTATCTGCCAGAGAACTAATTCTCAATTAGCCAGGCATAGTGGAAGGCACCTGTAATCCCAGCTACTCAGGAGACTGAGGGAGAAGAATCACTTGAACCCAGCAGGCAGAGGTTGCAGTGAGCCGAGATCATACCACTGTACTCCAGCCTGGGCAACAAGAGCAAAACTCTGTCTCAAAAAATATAAATAAAATGAAAAAACAATTTTCATGGTATTTCATTTGCTGTAATTCAAAAAAACAAGCGTTCAGTTGGGTGTGATGGCACATACCTGTAGTCCCAGCTACTCAGGAGACTGAGGCAGGAGGATCACTTGAGCCCAGGAGTTAAAGGTTGCGGGAAGCTATGATTGCACCACTGCATTCCAGCCTGGGTAACAGAGCAAGACCCTGTCTCTAACAGAAATAAAAATAAAAAATAAATTTAAAAACAAGACACAAAGGAACAAGTGAAAGGGGAAATGCCTGGGACAAAAAAATTTCTAAATTAATTTTTATTTATGTTATCTTTCTAATGCTTGATATGTTGTATTTGCAGTCGTGTTCCTTCTTCAGTTCCAATGCTGTCCCCCTAAAAGTCACAATGGTGAATGCTGACCCTATGGGAGAAGAAATTAATATCATGTTTAAGGTAAGTAAATAATGTTACTATTTTTTTAATGGCAATTTAGAAATTGTTGTTATCAAATTACTTTTTGAAAATTGCAAAGGTGATTTTGTTTATTTAATATTTTTTAAATTATTTTATTTTATTTATTTTTTTGAGCCAGAGTTTTGCTCTGACACTCAGGCTGGAGTACAGTGGTGCGGTCTTGGCTCACTTCAACCTCCGCCTCCCGGGTTCAAGCAGTTCTCCTGCCTCAGCCTCCAAGTAGCTGAGATTACAGGCACCTGCCACCATGCCTGGCTAATTTTTGTATTTTTAATAGAGACTAAAAATACATGTTGGCCAGGCCAGTCTTGAACTCCTAACCTCAGGTGATCTGCCCACCTTGGCCTCCCAAAGTGCTGGGATTACAGGCATGGGCCACCGTGCGCGGCCAAACATTTTATGTGTTTTGATCATGATTTGTATATTTTGAAAGGATGAAGAATTTTAGTTAATTCAACGAGTTGGATACGTGGAGGTTCATAAAGATTGCTTCTACTGAACCACCTTTGATATATGTGATAAATTCCTGTGTACTCAGATCTGGTTTTGAACTCTATATTTTGTTTTATTGATGTAGGTGCCTTTTCCTAAACTGGTAACATCTGTTTTGAATACAAGAATTTTATGTGTTAAGTATTTATTTATTTATTTATTTGAGATAGAGTTTCGCTCTTGTTGCCCAGGCTGGAGTCCAATGGCGTGATCTCAGCTTACTGCAACCTCCGCCTCCCAGTTTCAAATGATTCTCCTGCCTCAGCCTACCAAGTAGCTGGGGTTTCAGACATGTGCCACCACACCCGGCTAATTTTTGGTATTTTTAGTAGAGACAGGGTTTCACCATCTTGGTCAGGCTGTTGTCAAACTCCTGACCTTAGGTGATTCACTCACCTCAGCCTCCCAAAGTTCTGGGTTTACAGGTGTGAGCCACCATGCCCGGCCAACCTTTAATATTTTTTAAGGCAAGTTCTCCTTATTCTGTTCCATAATTTTCTTTGCTAGTCTCAGAATGTATTCATTATTTGTGTTTTTAAATTATTTTATTCAGTTTAAAAAAGAAAATGAAAACTTGTTCAGGTTTTATTAAAAAATAATTGATTTTGGGAGGGTTAATTTTTTTAAGTAAACTTTTCATTTTGTGATAATTATAGGTTCATAGGCAATTGTAACTGTACAGAGAAATCCTGTGTACTCTGTTTCATAGTAACATCTTGTATAACTGTAGTGCAGTATCACAATCAGGGTATTGGCATTGATATAGTCAAAATACAGAATATTTCATCATCACAAAGATTCTTCATGTTGCGTTTTTAAAAAGTTGAATATAGGCTGGGTATAGTGGCACATGCCTGTAATCCCAGCACTTTGGGAGGCTGAGGCAGGCACATCACCTGAGGTCAGGAGTTTGAGATCAGCCTGGCCAACATGGTGAAACCCTATCTGTACTAAAAATACAAAAATTAGCCCGGCGTGGTGGTGGGCACCTATGATCCCAGCTACTCTGGAAGCTGAGGCAGGAGAATTGCTTGAACTTGGGAGGCCAAGGTCGCAGTGAGCCGAGACCATGCCTCTGCACTCCAGCCTGGGCGATAGAGCGAGACTCAGTCTCAAAAAATAAATAAAAATAAAGAACTGAATATATCACATACCATAAAACTGAAGCTTTTAAAGTATACAGTTCAGGGAACTGAGACATGAAGAGGTTAAGTACCTTTCCCTTGAATGCTGCAGAAAAATAAAAAGGCAATTCTGTTCATCTTACAGGCATGTGCCACCATGCCCAACTAATTTTTGTATTTTTAGTAGAGGTGGGGTTTTGCCATGCTGGCCAGGCTGATCTCAAACTCCTGACCTCAGGTGATCCACCCACTTCGGCCTCCCAAAGTGCTGGGATTACAGGCGTGAGCCACCATGTCCAGACAGCTTTCATAGTATGTAATCTATTGAGTTTTTTGGAAATGAACAAGTTTCATTTTGTTTCCTTGATTTCAAGGTTGGTGAAGATCTTCGGCAAGATATGTTAGCTTTACAGATGATAAAGATTATGGATAAGATCTGGCTTAAAGAAGGACTAGATCTGAGGATGGTGATTTTCAAATGTCTCTCAACTGGCAGAGATCGAGGTAAGTCTATTAGCTGTATCTTGATATCTTATTTTTTTCCTTGAACTTAGCTTAAAGTGTACCTGCCTTAAGGGTCCTGATGCAGATACTTTGGGACCACAGTTGTTTCTTATTTTAATCTGGTGTTACTTTATTGATTCAGTTGCTCATAATTAAGTCTCTTTTAAAAATAACTTAGTGACTGGGCATGGTGGCTAGCGTCTGTAATCCTAACACTTTGGGAGGCCGAGGCGGGTGGATCACATGAAGTCAGGAGTTTGAGACCAGCCTGGGCAACATGGTGAAACCTTGTCACTACTGGAAATGCGAAAATTAGCTGGGTGTGGTGGTGTGTCCCTGTAATCCCACTTACTTGGGAGGCTGAGGCAGGAGAATAGCTTGAACTTGGGAGGCAGAGGCTGCAGTGAGCCAAGATCGAATCACTGCACTCCAGCCTGGGTGACAGAGCAAGACTCTTGTCTCAAAATAAATAAAAAATAAATAAATAAAATAACTTAGTGAGTGTCCTAAATAAATGCTTTGCAGTAACCAGAGGTGTCCATTATTGACCCAGTGGGGACTTTATGGTCTTTAGCTTTTAAACTTAAAAATAAGGCCGTATCTCTGAGTGCAGTGGCTCTCACCTGTAATCCCAGCATTTTGGCTGAGACAGGAGGATCACTTGAGTCTAGGAGGTTGAGACCAGCCGGGCAATATAGGGAGACCCTGTCTCTACAAAAAGAAGTAAGTAGCCTCAGCTACTCTGGAGGATGGGCTGGGAGGATTACTTGAGCCTGAGAGGTTAAGGCTTCAATAAACCGTGATCATGCTACTGCACTCCAATCTGGGTAACACAGTGAGTGACACCTTGTCTCAAAATAAATAAATAAATAAGGCCATATCTAAATTAAACCAGCTGTGATTTCATTTTTGTAAAATAAAATCATACAAATCTCTCTTCTACTAATAGCAGATTTCTATCTTAATGTTTATTGACTACGTTTTGAAATAATGTAAAACATCCTAATATCTGATATGTATTATGTGCTTAATAAATGGCAGCCATCATTATTCTTAGTCAACACATGTTTGTTTACCATCTATAAAATGCTAAAAATATGTGGTACTTACATTTTAGAAGGAAGCAATAATATGTACACGTAATCAGAGTATGCTTTAATAAGCTGAAAGCTCTAAGAGTTATAAAAGCAATACTGTCAGGTTTTAAAGGAGAGAAAGATCATCTGCTGTTGATAGAAATGAGAAATGTTTCACAGATTCTATGCACAGACACTAGGAAGTCACCCGAAAGATTATCTTAATCATCCTTCCAATATTTGCCATTCAATTTATGCTTAAATCCCTGTAATGAAGGGAATTCATTGCTTTTCAAGGCAGTTCATTTTATTCTGGATAGCTCTGATGGCTATAGATTTCTTTTTCATATTCAGGTGAATAATGGGGACTAAGTTCTGGTGTCTTTTACCCATTAGTTCCAGTTCTGCTCAGAGACTGTCATATAATTAAGTTAAATCCTTCTTCACTCTGACCAATATTGTGGCCTCAGATTCTGAATTCCAAATTCTTCAGCCATTTGTGAAAGATTACTTTAAATTACCTTATTTCTCCTTGCAAACGGTTCAGGTAATCTGTTGTCTCTAAAAATGGTACCTGGATTTTGTAGAATACATAAGGGTGGACATAGTGTCACACATGTGAAACTATTCACAAATAAAATCAGTAAGTCATCATCATACCAGCTCCTGCTAAGCCATGTCTTGGCCATCTTTTCAGAGATGGGATCTTACTTTGTAACTCAGGCTGGAGTGCAGTGGTGTGATCATAGCTCACTGCAGCCTCAAACTCCTGGGCTCAAACAGTCCACTTCCCTCAGCCTCCCAAAATTAGCTAGGTATGATGGCATGCACCTGTAGTGACATGCCACCACACTCAGCTAATTTTTAAAATTTTTCATAAAGACAGGGGTCTCCCTGTGTTGCCCATGCTGGCCTCAAACTCAGCTCAAGCAATCCTCCCACTTTAGCCTCCCAAGTAGCAGGGATGTAGGCTTGTACCACTGTGCCCAGCTATGTACTTGTACATTTTTGTATCTTAGACCCATGTGTAGGGTGTTAGG